TGTTCAAAACAAAGGGTAAATTAAAAATAAAGTAATTAACAATAAAGATGGACAAGCGCAATGTGCATTAGCAACTTGAGCAACTGCATGTAGTGTAATAGAAATGCAAATAATTGTTGGCGGAGAATCCGGTAATGAACCCCAAGTAGGCTGAACTCCGCGTCGGAGGGGAAGAGAAAGGTCGATGAATCGTGAAGGCGTCGAAGCAAAACAGCCGCCTGTGCCCAGAGGGCGTGGCGCAGCGCGGCGCGGCGCGGCCCCGATTCGTTCGCTCAGGTCGCTGCTCTTGTCGCCCCCGCTCCCGTCCATCGCCCACGGCCACGGCCACGGCCAGCGCTCTCGCCTCCGCCCAGCCCAGTGAAAATTGGATCGTTTCTCTAACAAATTAATTTGTAAAACTCCTGAATGGTGACGTCCGTGGCCTACTATATCCAACTTCAAACAAAGGAACAAACTAAGCAGATAAAATCGCTATCCATTTGTTATATGTTAAATGACAATGTCTAATTACGAAACCCCCTCCGTCTGCCCAATTTAAAATGTCTACTTACGAGAGAATTTACATTTTTATATCAAAAGTATTGTTGGGCTTTAAACTGCGTTTTTAAAAAAATTAAATAATGAAGTAAATAGACAAGTTAAAACAAGTTGGAATATAAAATATACTACGTATACTCTGAAAATATCCTTTCCAAAACTTTTACCTCTTGTGTTTTCCGAAGATTTTTATTTAACATTATAACACGTTTGAAAATGAGGTCCTATATTATGAACATTTGAAATGAGACATACCTCCAAGAAATATTCTTTTAGAGGTGAAACAAATATTTACATTCAGCCTTATAGTTCAAGATAGAATTCAACGGTTTTCGGATACCGTTTAACCTAAGAAAAACGCAGTTTTTGTTTACAATATTTGGCAGCGTGACTGATATGCGCTTCGAAAATGTATTGATAAAGAAAACTAAAAAAACGGAAATATAGGTACGCCACTTTGAAAACTAGTTCTTTGATAAGGTACCAAATCTCGCACAAAGCAATCGAGTTTCTTATTTAATTACTATCACATAATTACAAAATTGAACTCATACATTGTTATTCCATATATATATATATATATATATATATATATATATATATAGTATATAGTATATATATGTAATATATATATAATGTATATATTATATATGTATAGAATATGTATATATATATATATATTATATATATATATATGTATATATATATATATCCTGTAACTATTAATATATGTATATATATTATATGTATATATATATTTATATATATTTATATATTATATGTATATATATATATATAACTCCCAACAGGTTGCCTAATGTATCTACTCTACATTGTGTTACATGTAGTGGTACTCTTATATTAATACAGTATTGGTAAAATTTTAAAAGAACATAAGTATATAAAATCTACAAAATAAATTCAATTAAAGGAAAGGACAATAATGTAATATATTGTGCTATCCTTAACGCATTCTTGAAAGTACCCGTAAAACAAAGATGAAGGATAGACGAATGGGCAGGCGTATGTTACAAAAAGTCACTTGTGGGTTACAAAACAAACAATGTGACGAAAACAGGAGGCAAGCAAAGTAGGGGGGGAAACGGTATAAACTAGTGGTGCCACAACTCCTTTTGCTCTCTTGCATTATTTGTTACAGTTTCCAAAAATAATAATTGACCCCACGGAAATGTTACCACCCACAAAAGTATTTGGCCACACTGAAATTCGAAATCAGGTACACTAAACCCTCGTTAACATGAATTCCAAGGGTCTGAAATAATCTGTGTTCTTGTTATAAAACTCGTGTTATCCGATTTTTATATTCATCCTCATTTATAGTTTCTGTGGCGGCACCCAAATTTTGTTCGTTTGACGACAAATTTTGTATTATCGAGAAAATTCAGAGAATTCAATGAAAGTCGGACCTGCCTAATTTTTGTAAGACCCGCTTTTGTTTCGCACTATCGGATAAACAAATTGGCGCCGTTTGGGAAAATTACCTTTATTTCTAGGAAAAACCACTCGAATTTTGAAAAAAATTGTAAATGCCTTCTCGAATCTCGAATTTTGAAAACCAGATTGCATTCAAAACAAAGATTTCTAACTTCAGTATTCTAGGCAGAGCCTGAAACTTCTGCTATTTTCAAAATTTCAGAGGGTACAACGAAAATCGCATTGCGCCATTTTTATAATCGTACTTTGCTATAACCGAGAAAAAATGAAAAAATCATTAAGAAACATTTTTGGATTGTAGCATTCTAGTTTCGAAGTAAGAGTGTACAAACGATCGATTTCATAGTGTCTCTGATTTCGCGTTTCTCAACTTCAAATGCGCAAAATGATTCTCACTCACAATCATGTAACTTCAGTGGTTATCAAGTAGTTTTGCCACATGATTCACTGCGCACTTATCTATAGGCAGAGGAGATAACTTTTTTCGACGGTACTCCATAAACGAGGGTTACCGGCCATGTGGATAAGCTAATTTCGCAATCTCAAGCCATCGCTGCGTGCTAGAGGCAGAGAAGGAATTTGCTGAAGAATATCGATCCATGCGTCTTGTAGCCCTTCTTTCTCTTGCGAGATGATAATCAGGTGGTCAAATCTACTGATGTTATAATAATTTCTCATTCGAAGTCGCGCTATTGTAAGTCTTGACAATTTAATCGAATGCTCCAGACCTTTTTCTTCGACAATTATCGTTACGTGTGCGAGTGCGAAGTTCATCATATTTAACCATTAACCAACTTAAAGAAACGGTCCTGCCGTGTTCTTCCGTCAGCATTTCAGATATACGAAACAAAAAAGGCTATGCAATTTAATGTATAGAAACTGAACATTCGCGAAAGATTCAGTATTGCCATCACTTGGAACCTTATTTACAGGCGAAAATTCTCTTTGCAACTATAGTACTGTATAAAACAAACCTCCTAGAACTAGAATTGTCAACAAGATTTGTTTTATTTGAGAACCTACTAGTAGTTTCCCATTGTGCAAACAACCAAATTACAGACTTAAAATAACGTCTTTATCATAGTATAAGATTACTCACACTTGCGCTTACAGTGAAAGATTACATCTCAATTCAACCAAGATTCTTCCACCCGATCACTCCGTATCTTGCCTTCAAATGTTTCTGCTTATCGTCATTGCACATTCACCTTTAACAAAAAAGCTTCTCTGCACATACTCACTATCGGTACAACAGAAGCTTGCAACGCCTACCAGTTTAGAGACTTACAAGATGCAAGAGGTTAAAATAATACAGTGTTTAATGCAATTTACAACGATTTACCTTAGGGCGTCCTCCACTACACTCGAGTGAACATCTGCAACGTAACGGTGGCGACCTGCTCATGTAGGGAGAATGAGGATTTCGCTGATGCCCCAACCGTGAATACCCTCGTGCCGCTCCGTAGAGCGAAAAGACTTGTTAAAAATTGCTTCCGCCAGTTTCCGCAATTGACCAGCAGTGCTTGTCAAGCGATTATTCTAGAAGTATTACTTACTATAAGTACTATTATATTAAAAGTAATGTTTGGAAGGGCTTGCAGTATTATGAGCTTTACAATCTGCATTTCCCGAAGAGTAAGGAAGAAATATGAAAGGGCAAAAAAGCCAATCGGATTTCTTTGTGTTGCTAAGAAGAATCTCTAGAGCTATTACGAAATACTGTTCAAGCTTCACAAGAAATTTATTCAATGAAATTTAAAAGACATAATCAAGTACTTCTAGGAAGGCGAGTCGAAGCTGTTGCCGCAGGGTCAACCACGACATGGACAGTACCCGTCCTCCCAAATCTGATGCTGTGTTCATTAGAAGCTTAACGAAAAGCAGTTGAGCGGTTGGCTGTGCCTGAGGCTAGAACAGCTGAAGTGAATCTCGTGGAAGCCCTATTAGGAGACTGTGCCTGGCGCACAGCGCTCACTTCCTCCGCCTCCGTCGCGCCATCTGGTGCTAACCGCCTGCAGTGAGAGTGCACAGCGAGACGCCACGCTGTCCTGTGGTGAAGGGGAAGGCAGTGGAGGCGACCGGAAGCTTGACCCCTGGGGCGGAACTAACGGAGTCCGGGGACCCTCCAGTTGGAGGATTCCGCCATCAGTAATATATTGCCCAGAAATTCTATTTCGGGGTCGTGTGTAGTACATTAACCTGTTTTAACCATTAACATTCACATTTTCTTAGAGAGATGCACTCGAATTGTCCTCCTGCGCACCGCACCTTTAGTACCTATCGCTCAAACTCTCCGACGAGGCTGAGGACAAGGCTTGACAGTCTTCGTCGCTGAACCTTCGAACGCAGGTCATTCAAATTAAAATAAAAACGTTGGAAAATACGACGATTTACGTTAGTATTTCAATGCTTACAAGTCGTCAGCAGATCAGTACATAAATTTGTAGTACCCGTGACTTAAACTTATACCACGATTACAAATGGGAATTTCGTAAAGAAAAAAAATTGAGGAAAACAAAACATGCAAAAACTCTTTAATTAATGATTCATAAACAATTACTTTTTATGAGTAAATAAAAAAATAATTGATGTTAGATTATTATTCGAAATAGCAGGTAATTAAGGTATTAGACAAAATAAGTACTTGTGGCAATAAGTTAAGCATCATGACAGAGTTTCGACAAGTTGCGCAAAGCCTTGTGCATTGCCAACCAGACACCACAAGCGCTGTAGGCGAAGGCGGAGTGCTGGTTTTAGGAGTAGAGAGGGAACTGCACGGAATCGTGCGACGCCGCCTCGGAGGCGTGCGGAGAGAGTCGCGAGGAGCTGAGCGGCTCTAGGTCTGCGACAGATGAATGATAAAATTGTAGAAAAGGGGAAAGTGTTTTATTGACACGTCTACGGGAATTCATTACCAGATTTTAAAAAAAAATATCGGATCATTTGAAATAGCATTGGTTATTCGGGTCTTCAATTATTCTTTGAAAAAATTTCATTTTCCTGAGAAGAAAAGCCAAGACGACGGGGACTCCTTCGGAATTGGAAGGAGGCCTGTTTGTCTGTTTCCTCCATCGTTGCTGGTAAGTTCTACGGCAATACACACGGCCACAAAGCTCGACTCCCCACTGATCTGCAGCAGTTTTGTTTAGGTGTTTGACCATCCACCCTATAGCCCAGATCTCGCTCCTCCCCTCTCACCAGCTATCTTTTCTTTCATCTCAATAAATTCCTCTTCTGTCGTCATTACTAGCCTCACAGTGACGCAAGTGCCAGGTGGCTGTCATCCACTGCAACGCAGGCATTGATACCCTATCTCAGGTGGCAGACCTCTACGACACAGGGATACGAATATTGACCCCACGCTATGGCAAAGTCTCAGTTCTGGAGGTGATGTTAAAAATAGTGCAACAAGTAAAATTGAGTTTTCTTTTTGTTGACGGCCTAAGGAAACGTCCTAGATCTTAACTGCGCGTTCACAAGGCGTGCAAAACATGTCAGACATAACCTTTATTATTTATAAAATTTCAACATTCAAACAGATCTTAGGGAAGGGTAGGTTCAATTGATGATACGAACAAAAAACAAACAAAACCAGCCCAAAATCTGCCCAGTGAACAATAAATGCCGTCCATTAGGCGTTTATAGAGGGGAATTTCGCAAAATGCATTTTCTTCTTGCGAGACGAAAGCTGTTTCAGCCCTATATAGCAGCGAGCGGACCGTGGTCTGTGGCTGTGGATGTGACGGGGCGAGCGCTGAGCGGCGCGGCGCCGGCGCGGTGCTCGTGCCGTCGCTGTCGCTGTCGCAAGCGCACGGAGAGGCAGGCGAGGCGCAAGGCCGTTAAGCTCAAGAGGTGGGGGAGCGGCGGTAGAGTGGGCGGAGCAGGGCGGGGCGGGGTAGAGTGCCGGCCCAGGTACAGTTATGCGCGCGAAAGCCCCGGCGGCGGCGGCGCGGCCTGGCGCTCGAACTCTCTGCCTGCGCATCACATCGCACCGCACCATGCCACGCCACGCCACGCGACGACGGTTTTCTCTCGGCGCGTCCGCCGCACCGCCAGGGCTGGCCAAAGGCTCGCCCGCGGCCAGAGCGCGCAACGTGCGTTGAGGTTCGCTTTGGCAATCGAACTGCCCGCAGGCTCATTGACTAGCTACAGAACTACACTGTCTGTACACGACAATAAGCTTTTTCTAGATTTGATTCTGAACGCAGGGAATCGTTTTGACCAGTACTCATCTTCCTCTGAAATCCCCATGATTTTATATTGCTTACGAGTTCTTGCAATATTCAGAAGAGATTTACTTTAGTAAAAAAATAGGATTCATAATCTATATAATATCGTCCAATATTATTTGCTCAGAGCTATGTGGGTTTTGTTGTTTGAAAAAAATGTTTTCGGTAATTTCGTTTTGAATAGCTTCTAGCTTGAATAATGATTATTTGCTACATATAATGTTTTATACTATTGAATATACGCCTCGTGTGGTTTATACATGTAGTGATTTGCATCCTGGAATTTCTAATATAGAATTTTAATTATAATCGAGATTTAGTGCAAATTTGCTCTTCAATAGATTAATTACAGAAAACACGGAAAATATTCAAAATAACCAATCCCCCATGAACGCTTACACAGACATCTAGGACACTCCTCTCTGTTCATCCCGTGTCCTCAAGCTACTGTTCTGTGACGCGATTATTGATTACTTTCCATTAGAGATACGAGACAAGAAAGGAAGTTCTAAGTGGCGTGTCTTAAGTGAACTTTCCCAGCACCAAATTCGATAGAAACTGACATGTGTTGCGCATTCGACCACTGCAGAGAGTAATTAGGGAGCGAGCGAAGCGTTTCAGAGCACTAGAGGAAGCCAAGCTTGTTATGGCCTTCTGCGACGCGGTGTCACCTGAAAGTGCTTGGGAACTTCAGACCAAAGAGTTTCGTCGCCAACTCTTATCTGGGATACAATGCAAAGTACCTTTCCGTCCTGAAATTGTTTCAGTAACTGATTTTACTTTTATTTTTCTACTTAGTATTACATTTGAAGAGCAAAAGATCGAAACGCATTAACCCAAAATAAAAACTAACAAGCGAAGTGGTCATGTCTCATGATTTAACATTATCTATGATATATATATATATATATATATATAATTTATATATATAAATATTATTTATTATTAATATTAATTATTAATTATGAGATGTTTCTGCACAAACATATCGATCTGAAGAACAACCTCGGAGCAAACATCAATGTTATATACCAATGGTTTTTGTTATTTCCACCGCCGACCCATAGCGAAGGATGGTGAGTCCCTAGCTGCTGTGCCGCCCCGCCAGCGGTGCGTGATGGCCGAGTCTGCAAAGGAGGGGGGGAGGGGGCATCCGGAGCGCGGTGGGCAGGCAGGTCGGCGCCCCATTGGCTCTCTCCGCGGCGGGGCGCTTCGCTCGCTCTTCTCAGACTGGGCGACTGGCGAGGCCTGGTCCAGGAGGAAAATTGCTCGTGACCCGCGAACTGCCAATGCCAAGTAGACGGGCGTGACACACGACTTGGCGAAACTGGAGTACCGGGTCTCTGATACCGAGTGTTAAGTCGCCTACGTCGCTTGAATGCTGGAAAATTTACACAATATTATTAAAAGAGGGGATTAAATTAAGCGGTTAAATGAGGTTTTACGTTGTCGTTGGTGCTATAAAGTTGTGTCTCTATCGAAACACTGTTGCCACGCCTTCACAGCACGCGCGCGCTCAAACGTTATGCACAACGAAATATGATGCAACGTGTTGGTACAAAAGCGTTTAGTATAAAGCTTCTTCACATGAATCGAGAGAACCATAACGTATGAACTGAGAGGATCTCTGCTCTTGTAGTTACAATTGTATGTTACATGATACGCATCCACGCAGGGGCGACCGGAAGGGGTGACAGCTGGGGGCAACTTGCCCCAGTCTCCGACTTAATCGTGGCCCAGATTTTTATTATTATTATTATTATTATTATTATTATTATTATTATTATTATTATTATTATTATTATTTCACTATAAGTTATTTCTGATGCATGGGGAAATGAATTCTGTTCATGAATTTGGGGGAAGAGGCAACTTTTTGTTTGAAATGAGTTCCCGTGGATCAACTGCCCCAGGCCCCTGGTTTTCTCTAGACGCCCCTGCATCCACGTGGAATTCTTACAGGCAAGACGATTTTGCGGTAGTTTTTCTCGGAATTCTCCCGTTTTCCTGCCTTCCCATCCCATCACTGCTCCATCCTCATACTATATATTTAGCATTTACCCATTAAAAATATTAATACATTCATCTACCACAGATAATAGATGGTACAGGCACTGCTGACATACTGAAGAAGAGGAATAATGATATTCAACACACAAAATACTAGAGAAACGCTAGGTATAAATTTTGACTATGCGTCACTGAATTCGAAGGTGCCATTATGGATTATATTTAATTATTAGACCTGGCGTCAAGTAACGAAGTTTTTTTTTGTTTTGTTTTGTTTTTTAGCAATAATTTCAAATTGAAGGAGATTTCAAATGTTGCAAAGATATAGTCTGATGAATTCATTGTGTATGAGTTGGGTTTTGATACGTTGCTCTGTCGGTGGGGGCGTTCATTGACGCTTCGAAGAATAGTTTTAAGATAAAAAATTTTAAAGCGGTGCTATGGTCGTCTTTCGTACATGATGGAACAAAGGTACACAAGGAAATTGACTGCTGTCGTGTTGGCTCATTACTAAGGGAAATGAAACTGGCATACTCTTGAAACAGCGTTTCGTAGTCAGGCCAAAAGGATACATTAAGTTAGTACATTATGATTTGTTGCTCATATTTTAGTGTAGCTTACATGCAATAACTGCTGTTATATCGGAAACAAAAGCTAAACAATCTATTTAAGAATAATTTTCGCATTCAGATACCTAGAAAACGAATCATTACTTCCACTTTAACATTAAACGTTTCTAATTTCTTGAACAGTGTAATTGTTTTTCGTGAACATTTGCAGGTACGACTTATGCCTATGTTCACAGTTGTGAAGAGTTTGAACTTGTGCATTTCTTTGTGAATGAAACTTACGTCCCGACGCCTCCGTACGCGCTTCCTCCAGCTGCGCTTGGAGAGGGGGAGGGGCGGTAGCCTCCGACAACACCGATGGAGAGGCGGCGAGCGGGGGGGGGGGGCGTAGGCTCGTTGACCCCTGGGGCAGTGACGCAGCCGCGGGTCACTCGGTCTCGCACTCTCCGGCGCAGCTTCGCCCACTCTCCATTCGGATTCCACTGCAAGACACCTTCCGCTTGCAACCGGATCACTCGCTTCCGAACGAACAATAGAAAGCGGTACATTTCGTCATTGTATTTCGAATAGTAGATAATGCCCTTTCTGACGTTTTGATTGTCAATTCTCAGGTTACGACACCTGCGTGACTAACAAAACTTTACCAAGTCTGTGGAATTTGCCCTCATTCACATTCATATCCAAATGCGCGTGCGCTTAAGAATTTTCTTGTGACATAAATGTTAGAGTGCCCTACTCTCTGGAAATCTAGAATTACTCTGTAAAACGCATGAGACATTTATGGCCCGATGCGACGGCGCGGTCCTCCTAACAAAAGTTCTCACTTCGTCGCAGGGGAAATATATAGGGGTCAAACCGAATTATAATTCAGGTTTCTTGTTGCAGAAAAAATTCCTGAAGCACGAAATATCTGATTACTCTCTGAGTAATGCGTTGTGTCAGTATAGAGCTCCTTCACATGAATCGAGAGAACCATGACGTATGAACTGAGAGAATCTCTGCTCTTGTAGTTACAATTGTATGTTACATGATACGCATCCACGCAGGGGCGACCGGAAGGGGTGGCAGCTGGGGGAACTTGCCCCAGTTCCCGACTTAATTGGGGCCCCGATTTTTCTTTTTTTTTAAATTATTTCGCTAAAAGTTATTTCTGATGCATGGAGAAATGAATTCTGTTCATGAATTTGGGGAAAGAGGGAACTTTTTTTGTTTGAAATTAGCTCCCGTCAACACTGAGAAAATGCGTTGTGTCAGTAAAGAAGGTAAAACTTAGTTTTATCACGTCAATGTCAATTCGATTCAATTGCTGCCCTGCAGTGAATGATTCGTATCATGAAATTTACGAGGGATTACAACGACGCCGAGAGTGCTAAGTTAGAAAAGTCGATAAAGATCTCTGAATGGCGTGTTCTTGAGTTCCCCGATGCCCGCGAGTGTCCGGCTGTCGGCGTGCGGCGCCCTGGAGCCAGCAGCTGCTGTACACCCGAACTGCAAATTGACCCCACGCAGCGCTGACCTTGGGCGCCGCCCCAGACAAAAGCGCTCGTGAGACGTGGCGTGGGAGAAGCTGCGGCGTGAGACCAGAATTCGCTCGCGAATGGAAGAAAGAAGCCTCGCGCGTGGGAGAATCTCCAGGCTCTCAATAGATAGAGCTTACTTAGCATTATTATAGGCCGGAATGGAGCAGAACCAGCGGGATACTTTAATAATACGAGAGAGGATAAGGCACGAAATGGGGGCGGGTAGGGGGCGAGATGGGGGCATGTTGGAGCGAGGATGGGGCAAGAGCGATGATAGGGGGCTGCGGGGAGGTGTGAAGAGGGGGGCGGGACGACGAGAGGCAAAGATGATGTTTGAAGGGATCGGGTGACTGAGGACAGGACTGATGGCGAGAGGGAGAGGAGCGCGATGGAGGCGGAACAGGTGCAAGAAACGCGGAGCGGTGCGATAAGATAGCGACTGCAGCATTCATTGGAGACGGTCATTTCCGTGCTCTGCGGAGAAGCTGCGGCTATTGACCGCAATGGAAACGATTAAACGGAAGCTGGTGTCGAGTGGCGGTCTCTATGATCGAATTTAGAGACCCGCTCCGGCTTTCACCTTTTATCGTCTGTATGTAGAGGTTTGGTTTATAATTTAGATTTTATGAACGGAAATTAACATTATTTCATTTTATTAAATACACAATATTTTGTTTCCGAGTTTCCTGCGTGGCATCAGTGAATCAAATTGCATGTAATATCATTTAACATTTAAACTATTACTATTGGTGTCCAGTTTTACAATAAAAGAACCGCATCATATGTCTTACAATTAATTTAAAACTTTTCTTTTTAAAACATTACTTTATAAATATAAGTAGTGAATAAAGCAATAATGCTAGTATATAAAAGACATTTGCCCTTACTAACATTTGGTTAGAGTTCAGTTTAATGTATTTAGGAGTTTATGTGTCATTCTAATGAGTATTTTGTGAATTATATGAATCCACAATGGTGCATCTTATAACTTTCGGTAGCATAATCGTGTTGATGTTCACGACGTCTAACTATTTAAACTTTGTGTCGTAATGTCTAGCCCTTTTCAGTTCCCAGCATAAACCGAATGTTGACTGTTTATAAGTTTTTTTCGCGTCAGAATGGGAGAACGTGAATGAGATCCCTTACTTCTTCGCTGCCAAGTGAGCCTCCTGTACTTGCACAAGACGCCTCGCCCGGCGCACGGAGGAGCCACCTTCGTCGCCGCCGTCACCCAGAGAGTATATTGCCGTCGCCTGCCGCATTTGGGCGAGCGGGGTGGGGGTGGGGGTGGGGATACCATCGACCACATCGACCGCCGCCCATCGCGTGCGCCTTCTCCCCCGGAAGGGCTTTCGCCCCGCGCCGTCGATACGCGCAAGTGCAGCGCCCGTTCCCTCTGCCCAACTCACTCGCCCTTCTCAACCGACAGACGCATTCTCTGTCAACGATCTACAACATTTTTTGTTTTTGAAAATTTATTATAACATTCTTTGTATTCAGTAAAAGATGTGTCAGCTATTAAAGCACCTGATTTCCTTATTTACCAAAATTCGTTTTCTTGTATTTCTGATGAGTTCAGGGGATCCTTTTAACTCTACCGAAGTGATATTTTTATAATCCAGATTAGAATATAGTAACGCCACTTAAAATGTAACTATAACATACCATTCATTCACATCATACCACAGCCGTGAACGCGAGAATATTGTTTCACTAATACATATTTTCTAAACGATTGAGCTGATTATCGCAGCAAATGCCTCAAATCAAACCCAAGCTATCCGGAGTTTGTGATTTTCACCATCATAACTGTGATTAGTTTCTGTATTTCGAAAATGAAATCATTTCTTAATAAAACGAAACGAATTCGATTCTAAAATTGATATTTATATTTGATTTTGTTCTCGCGAATGTGTGGTGATTCTACGTGTTACATATGTCCCAAATTCATTCAAATTTGGCGCCTAACCTTTAACAAATAATTATAAGCTTTTCTTGCCGTAAATTAAGAGCTAAGATCATGTATTTCAAACATCCCACGCTCAAGATAATTTTCCTTCACAAACCCGCGAACCTCGTTGTGGAGTGTAAAACAATGTATCTAAGAAAACATTTTCAAGGTACTTCGCAGCGTGCTAGCAGGGCGCAGCACTGTCCAGACCGACTCGGAAGACAAATTCTCGAAATAGTAGCCATTCCAATTAAGACGCCGTGAGCTCAATGAGAGCTAAACAATAAGTTTACATCAACAGCTGAACGAACTGATGGCCGATCGCGTCGCGCACCAAGCAACATACATTTTCGCATACCTTGACGTTGTTAATGGTTATTGACGCTCATTGCTTATTGTGGTAATCGGTTAGCTGTTTTTGACTCTTGGAGGCGTCGTAAATATTTTACTCCGTGAGCATGTTCTCGCACGGGAAGACAGTGAATTATGCTAGCACGTAAGATTAGGAGGAAACGTGAAAAATAACCCCAAGGCAGGTGACACATATCTTTCTTGATATACTTTGTGTTGGAAATCAGATTCTAACGCCGACGTGTGATGGCAGTCTAATTGTTCCATTTTCAATGACCAGAATCGTTGGATGCTGTTTAGAATCGCTACCGACATAAAAATACACATTTCTCCCAAAGAATGTCTCGCATGGAATGAAATGCAATTTGATGGCTTAAAACTCCGTACCATAAATCTTTATTTTTCAACTCTAACCGTCCATTTCTCTAGGCAATTATAAGTGGTTGTTTGAAACTAAACCTCTTCCATTTCTGGTAATTGAAGTATTGTTTTATTTTCATTTAGAGAGAGTTTATTAACTTTTGCGAGTAAGCTGTGTGAATAACTGAAGTATCCACCTGAAGTGTTCGTATAGATATATTACACCTGCTTTCATAAGTTGCTACCACCTCTGCCTTGGAGCACCCCAAAGGACCCGTAGCCCCAGATGCCTTTGTTCTGGGCCTCCTGGAAACCGCTGTGGGGGCGGGGGGGGGCAGGTGCCCTTTCTCTCCCCAGCCTCCCCGCCCCGCCTACCACCTGTCGCTACTCGGTGCTCAGGTTCCTTCTGAAAGACTATTCAAGAGATCCTCTCACTGCCTCAACAGAAAGAAATTGACAAAATGCGGTGTTGCAGTGTATCTCATACAGTCCGCGACACTTTCAATAACGTTCTCTTTCATTGGCTTCCTCATAATACAAGCTGGTTATCGAAGGAATGCGAGGCATTTTTTTTATCATAGTGGATTTGCATTCTTGTGATTGCTATAAGAAACTTCGTTATAATACTACTACTCTAATGGATTTACTGTAGCACAAGATACATAATGACTTCATTATATTTTATTTTAAGGCCAAAAAGTTGTTTGAAATAAACAAGCAATATTACAATCTTAAATACGCCTTTCAGTAAAATATTAATCAAAATAAAATATGGCTCTGTAATAGTCGTAGATAAAAGTTAAACGATATACGTTTGATATAATAACACAATTACTCTCTTATCGTTTGCCTTCAATCTTTCAATGACATGGTATATGACTTCAAATATTTTAACGCATCTTATATCTTAGTGGATATTAAATGAAGGCAAAAATCTTTTCTTACCATTTAATGGTACCATTTATTTGCAAATATATATTTTTTAAATACATGAAAATCGCAGTTCAGATCAAACGAATTATTTGGTTAAAGATGTGAACTGCATAACTACATCTCAACGTCCTAATTAATGCCCCTAATTAAGCGAAATTCAACGTATCTGACATACTTGGAAAATAGGACTGCTGCTTGTACAAAATACTGCTGTACAAAATAGGACTGCTGCAAAATACACTATTTAGTACGTAATACCTCTTCCAATTCCTCTTTACGAAACATTAGAAAAATATAAGAACTCGTACTTTGTTTCTTCTGGCAAATGGGTAATGACTAATGATACTAATGTGTTATAAACGCAACAAAGGTAGACCACGCCAAAGCGAGATTCGATACCTCAACGCTAGAGCGGGCGGTTTCCAACGCTGCGTGTGCATCGTTTAGGTCGACGCTCTGAATGCTGAAGAAAGCAGCTACATAACGCTTGCAGAAATAACTGCTTGTTGTTGACGCAGTGTTTGCCACAGAATCAAGGCAAGTTATTCAACACGCATCCTTTTGTACATTACATCCTGCCTGTGTCGCAATGATACAAACTATAGTATTTAGGTCGACAATGAATACCCAGAACAAGGTGCCGTCCATGCATTATAAATCAAAATATTCTCAAAGAAGGAGTAGTTCATATTCTTTCAATAAATATTTTAATTCATGAAACTGTACAACTTTTTAACTTTCTCGAGATATTTCTGCCGATCAACACTATGGTCTGATAGAGTGTATGTGGGGGGGGGGGGC